TTTTCACTAGCAAATTATTTAAGGAGTAAATTGCCAATCCTGCTTCCTGGTATGTCTCAGTCTGGAAGTTCTGCCAGAATGTGCCCACCGTGAATGACCCTGATAGTATTTGCACTGCCAGGGTTATAGCTTCCAGTATCACAGCAACACAGCAAGCACTACACACAATACAAAAAACTAACGGACTAGTGGCGAGCATGCGACTAGCATATTCCAGAGTTAAACATGAATGTAGTCTTTTAGAGATTGGGGAAAACATCTCGGTGAGACAATGTAAGGAAATCTGGGATCAAAGCCAAAGAAATCTACATGAAAGGAATACTACCACCTGCCAAGACTGCAGAAGAAACCAATCTTAATTACTTGATAACTCCTTACTGAGCACTCCTTTTTTGTATTCAATCTTGAAATCATCACTCTGAGATCATAAATTGATATTCCCAAGGGCTGGAAAGACCAAAACATGGCTATTCTTAGAGGCTAAGGGTTAATTAGTTTGTGTATCTTGATAATGCTTACATTCCACTCAGCATCAGCTCCTGGAAGTGATCAAACCTGACCTTGGAGTTGTGCGCTTGCCGAGCCTACGCTTACTCTTTTTTTTTTTTTAAATTTAGGTTGTTTATTTTTCATTTCAATGAACATCTACAGAGATTTTGGGATTCCATTCATTCATTGTTGCACCCTTCTCCCCACACAAACCCCTTCCCCCCCCCCCCCCCCCATTTGCTCCTCTCCTTGAAAAGCAAAAGAAAAAACTCCCTCATTGGTACTACGCTTACTCTTAAGCATCCCTTGCTTCCTGGGCAATTTTGTCTGTTAGAAAGATCTTCGGTATTTTGTAAACATTAATTTGGTTAGTTTTTACACTGAGCAGATCTACCTTAGAGTATCTACGTCTTGATTTTCCCCTCAATGTGGATTGAAGCTCAACGTGAAGAGGACAAAGATTCTCATCACTGGGCCAATTGGCAGCATCATGATAGATGGAGTAGAGATTGAGATTATTACCATTTTTAGCATGCTCGGTTCCACTATCAATAATTTTGGTACTAGCGTTCAGGAAATCAAATGCCACATTGCATTAGGGAAATCTGCTGTCAGGGACCTCTTCAGAGTGCTAAAGAGCAACAATGCCAGTCTAGAGACTAAGGTGTGACTGATCCAGGCCATAGTCTGCAATATAGCTTTGTCTGAAAGAAGATTGAACAGACTTCAGGAGATAGACCAAGTGTCTCTCCTTTAATAAAGCTACATGATCTCTTAGTAACTCTTAGCTTAGCATTGAATAATTAGTAGTATAGATTGTAATCTGTTACATTCATTGTATAGGGCAGATATGGTCTTGAATCTAATAAGCCTATCTCTCTTCAGATTTTCTCTGCAGTTGTACAGGGTACTCTGGTGGCCTTCTGAGTAGAGCTGTGCTGTCAATCCAAAGGTAGGCAGTTCAGATTGACCGGCTATGTCTAATGGTCTCCAGTGCTATTGCACATAGGATCTCTGTGAGCCTCAGGTGACTCAATAGCACACAATAACCCCTTCCTTATGTTTCCAGCTATCTTTCTCAAACAACCTGTTTGATGAGTTAATGGGATGTGGTTTTTCAGTCCTGTCAAATCTTAATTGTATCATGTCTTAAAGACGCTTCTTTTTCATTGTCCCTTAAATCTCTGGGGACCATAAACTTCCTTGAAAATCTTAGAAAGTGTATGTGATTTTACCAAAGATTAATGCACATGTCCCCAAAGTATATACCTTTGTTGACAAACTAAGGAGATTCCATTTATTCCATTCCAGTGCCAAAGAGCAGTTATAAATTCTAGATTAACCCATAGGGTCGCTATGAGTCGCAAACGACTCGACTGCACATAACAACAACAACAACAATTTTTCTATAGATATTGCATACCTTATTAGGTTTTTTTTTTTTAGTTTTTGTGTGAGTGTACCGTCATATCAGATCTGACTGGTACAGGAGGAGATTGTCCCTCCTTTCCCGGCAGAGCATCTGGTGGATTTGAACCATGCGCCTCTGGGATTGTAGTTGCAGCTCCTTGCCACTAGGCCACCAGAGCTCCCCCTTTATTAGGTATTTTTGTATACCACACAGCTCCTTTTAATATTCGTTTCCTTTGTTTTAGGGGTGGTATATATGTGTACATTTTTTTATGTGAGTACATTACATGTTAAAAATACAAGATCTGTTTGAGTGATGAATTCCAAGTTAATCAGTTTTCTTTGGGGAAGTTACCAGTGTAAAATTAACTAACGCATTGCTTCTTTTGTGGCAGAGGCTACATATATTTCTATCAATGCATTCCAAGAGTGTTTTATTTTTGTGTCCCTGAAATGTTAATTTACACTGATGATATTGTGTATGGAAATGCCTTAGCTGCTCTTAGTATCAGCTTCATCGTGCCGATTACTATTACATGGTTTCATGTCACTTAACCTCCCATCAAGGCTCAGGTTGTTTTTTTTTTTTTAATCTAATACCTATGTGATCAGCAAGGTGAAGACCTGAAATTTCTCCCTGCTGCATCACAGCTTTTTAAATCCAGCCCACCTTTTTGTTTGTAAAACCTGGTTCTGCCATCTAGCATGTTGTCTGTGCCTTCCAGCTTTGTATCATCAAAAAATGTGATATCCATTGATGCCCATTAATTTCGTGTCTTCACGTCGTTAATAAAAATGGACAGGGAGTCTTACAACTGACTTCTCACACTCTCCTCTGGTTGATTTTCATACTTTAATCAGGTACCATTCAATCAGTTACCACGCCACATAATTTCATTAACATCTGGCCCATTATTTTTTCATGTGTTCTTCAAGAGTGCTATGACATACCCTATCAGATGACTTGCTGATATCCAAGTGAATCATGTGCCTTCTATTTCCCTCTTCTAACTGCCTTGTAATCCTGTCACTAGAAGAAATAGGATTAATCTGATGTAATGTATTTTGTGATCCATGAAATGACTGTAGACTGTTTGGTGGAGGCAGAAATGTTTAGCTTAGCATCGTAATTGTCCGCTGCTGGAGTACTCGAATCAGGAGGAAGGTAGAGTTGGTGGCATTTGAAAGTGAACAGATTTGGATAGGCTTGAGAAAAAAAAATTGTCAACTTTTGCTTTCACATTTGTAGATTTTTTTTTTTAATTTTTTTTAACCTAATGGGTGATCAATTTTACTGGATTTCTCTGTGACAAACAAATGGGGTTTTTATTACATAAGAATTATTTTGTCAGGTATTTGAACGGATTAACAAATGACCTGTCCATGAAATGGATTTAGAGCTAACAAGTAGAGACATTTGAGTGGATGACATGGCCTTGCTTTATTGACTGTGAAGACCACTAGATATAGCCGGTCAATTTGAACTGCCTTCTTTTGGATTGACAGCACAACTCTTTACTCAGAAGGCCACCAGAGTACCCTGTACAACTGTAGAGAAAATATGAAGAGAGATAGGCTTATTATATTCAAGACCATATCTGCTCTATACAATGAATGCAACAGATTACAATCTATACTACTAATTATTCAATGCTAAGCTAAGAGTTACTCAGAGATCATGTAGCTTTATTAAAGGAGAGGCACTTGGTCTATCTCCTGAAGTCTGTTCGATCGTCTTTCAGACAAAGCTATAAAAAGTTTTCTTTAACTTCTGATCCTTAGCATTTTCAGTTATTGCTTGGAATGCATTTTAAGTTGTATGATTTACGTAACAGTGCATTTTTAAAAAAAAATCTATGCTTAACTTTTCTCAGCCTCCACCCTTCTGATAAATGCCTCCTCCTTCAGATAGAATGACTTATCTCTTCATAGCAGTCTTTTAGGTTTCATCATTGGAATACTTAAAACTTGAACTTGGAGAAGGGAAAATCCCAGGCTGGTATTATGAATAAGTCTCATTGAAACAGATGTCATCCAGTTTCATGAAAGGCTTCAGCTGGTGTAAGTTCCCAGCGTAATGGGCCTCCCTTTGGCATCACCGTGATAAATGTCTGGCATTGTAATTGCAAGACATGCCACCCAAGTAGAGTATAGACGATCAGTCTTGTTTTCCATGAAGAGTGGATGATCAGTCTTATTTTTCATTTTTCTAGAAATAATTGATCATTCATGTTTATAGGGCTATCAACTGCTGGGCTTTGAAAAGGTCAGTATTGATTATCTAAGTTATGCAGATGGTGTGTTTCTTTCCTAAACATAAATATGAGTTCCTTTGATGAGATTGGTGTGATATTTTTCCTTCAGGAAACACTTAGATGCAGTTAGAATATTGGAATATCCGTGGTAATATTTTAGATTGGCCAGTTTACATACACACATAATCTGCTTTACAGATGAATAACCTGAGTTCATCTCAGTGGACCTCAGAAGATTAAATGCCAACTCTTTTATTAAAGACACCTAGGAGGCTGTGTCAAAACCAAAATCCACTTAATGATTTTATCTGGATAGTGGATATAAGACTATCAAGTACATTTTCCCTTCATCACTGTGCTTTTATATATTCTTATATTCTATTCATTTATTCTATTAATTTTAGATGGTTCCTTTAAAACACATGCATTACTTTTATAGTAAAAGGATGGTTTTTGAGCCCAGGGTGAATGCCATACTAATTGGCTGGACTTGTATATACAGTATATTTTATGTTCAATGACCCTCAAGGAAATCACTTTGACAGGTCTGATAAAACACCGGCTAGACTATACCTGAATCCTCTCTTTTCCAGCCTTCTAGCATTGGTGACTGACTCTGGTACCATCTTTTTCATCCTTCTCTTTAACCCTTAGAGTTTTTGGCCACTTCAGCCTCCGCTCTGAATGGCAGCTAGTGAAAGTGGATTACAAATCCATCTTCAGCCGGCGCTGCACCAAGGAGGACTATCAGACCTGGCACCTGCTGAATCAGGTACACTGCAGAGAAGGAGTCCAGCCTTCTGAGGAGAGCTATTTCAGGCACTGTTTGGTCTCACTTGGACCTTTCTATTCGAGTAGAGTTACTAGTAGATCTTCTTAGTCCTGGGTGCAGGTTTAAAGATAAAATAAACACACACACACACACACACACACACACACACACAGCCAGTTTGAGCAGGAGGATAGCATATTCAGATAGTCTTATGTTCTGGAATCTTGATCTTCTTACTGACATTTTTAAGTAATATAACTAGTCTGAGAATGACAGTGATAACCTGTGGTTTCAGCCCTCTGTATCCAAGGAGCTCTGGTAGCGTAATCTGTAAAGTGGTGTGCTACAAACTTAAGGCTGCACCTCTGTGGTGGTTCAAATCCACCAGTGGCTCCAAGGAAGAAAGATGAGCATTAAGATCTACAGCCTCGAAAACCCAATGTAGTGTTACTGTGAGTTGAAATTGACTTTTCTAGGAATGAGTCTGAGAGGGTTTTTGGTTTGTTTTTGTTTTTGTTTTTTTTAATATTCTCTTTTTCTTTTTTGCAAATACTTTTAAAAAATTTTATTTTATTAATTTTAATGGACATTTACAGAGATTTTAGATTTCCATTCATTCATTGTTGCACTTTTTTCTCTATACCCATTGCCACCCCCCTAACCCCCGCTCCGTTCGCTCCTCTCTTCAAAAAGCCAAAGATAAACTCCTTCATTGGTATAAAATCCCTCCGCCCCGAATGCACTCCACTGTTATGTTGTTGTTATTAAGTGCCATTGAGTCCCTTGTGACTTATAGCGACCCTATGTACAACAGCCCTAAACCCTGCTCTATCATGTGCCAATCGCAATGCCTCTGACACACCCATCCCGATTATCTCAGTCACTGAATCAATCCACCTTATTGAGGGCCTTCCCCTCCTGTGCTGTCCCTCCACCCTCCTAAGCATGATGTCCCTCTCCAAGGACCGGTCCCTCCAGCATGTCCAAAGTATGTCAGACGAAGTCTCAGAATCCTTGCCCCCAAGGAGCAGCTTGGTTTAACCCTCTCCCGGATGACTCTGTTTGTTTTCTTGGCAGTCCATGGTCCATTTAGTACTCTTCTATGCAACCTTAATTCTGGATTCCTGTGATAACCATAATACCCTATCATATATTTAACCATAGATTCCAGAAGACTTCCTGGTGCAGTAGTTAAAGCACATGGCTACTAACCAGAAGATTGATAATGTAAACTCACCAACCACTTTGTAAGAGAAAGATGTGACAGTCTGATCCTGGAAAGAGTAATATCCATGGCAACCTCCTGAAGGCAGTTCTACTCTGTCCTACACAGTGGCTATGTTGTTATTGTTGTTGTTAGGTGCTGTTGAGTTGAGTACGACTCATATGAACAGCCAGTGTGAATCCTGCCCTAACCTGTGCCATCCTCATCGTCTCTAATACACTAGAGTCCATTGCTGAAGTCACTGTCTCAATCCATCTCATTGGGGACCTTCCTCGCCTTCGCTGACCCTCTAGCTTTCCAAGCATGATATCCGTTTCCGAGGAATAGCTTCGCCTAGTTATATCTAAAATATGAAAGATGAAGCTTTGGCATCTTTGCCTCCAAGGAGCTCTCTGGCTGCATCATCCCTCCAACTTATGAAGATCAAATTCCTTGGCAGTGAGTTTAGTTTTTTGGACGGGGAAACTATGAGGCCCTCTAGTGGTCTTCTTACCTACCAAAGTGGAAGTGAAACCAACGGCCCAGGGTATTGAGAATAGGCCCACTGAGTAGGGATTGGGCCCAGATATGGGAATAGCGAGGGAACATTCTAGTAATCACAGGTATTTACCACTAAAAGATGTTGTTGTTGTTGTTATGTGCTGTCAAGTTGTTTGTGACTCATAGTGACCCTATGTACAACAGCCCTAAACTCTGCTCTGTCCTGTGCCAATCACACTGTCTCTGACACTTCCATCCCAATTATCCCAGTCACTGAATCAATCCATCTCATAGAGGGCCTTCCCCTCCTGCGCTGTCCCTCCACCCTCCCAAACATGATGTCCTTCTCCAAGGACCGGTCTTTCCTCACAACATGTCCAAAGTATGTTAGACGGAGCCTCAGAATCCTTGCCTCCAAGGAGCCACCCAGTTTAACCCTTTCCAGGACAAATCTGTTTTCCTAGCAGTCCATGGTATTCTCAATACTCTTCTCCAGCACCACAGCTCAAAGGCATCAATTCTCCTTCTATCCTCCTTGGTCATTGTCCAACTCTCTGGTGCATAACAAGTGATTGCGAAGACTATGGCCTGTATCAGACGCACCTTAGTCTCCAGAGAGACACCATTGCTCTTCAGTACTTTGGAGAGTTAAGATAGGCTTCATTTTTCTTCTCAACCATTAAATTCTTCTCTCTTCTTTCAGTTGCTCTTTTCACCGCTAATTAGGAAGGAGGACTTGAGTGTGGTAGATTGTCGTCTTAACTGAAATTTATTACTCTTAAGTCAGGATCGACTCATAGGTGACTTGCCATTGGGTTTTCAGAGGCTGTTGATCATTGGGTGGAGATTCTCCAACTTTTCCCAAGGAGTCGCCGCTGGATTCGAACTGCCAAAGAAGCATCCGCTTTGAGTTAACAGTCTAACCTCCTACAGATATCCCCACTAGAGCCAGACAAAACCCTTTTGGGATCAGTTTCATTATTGCTGTGATGTAAAAAACATGCCAGACCTGGGCCTCTTCACACTAGGATCTTTCTAGAATCCATCTGGGTGAGTCTTTGATGATCTGTGAGGGTGCCTGGGGTCTCTGCATTCTCCCTGTAGACAGAGAAAAAACAAGGACAACAGGACTTTTACTTGCTGTAGTGTGGGGAGGGGTGGTGACAGGGCAGCCTGCCATCATATCCCTTTGATGTGATAGTAAAAGACCAGTACTTTTATCCTTGAAACTTCCACATGGTTCCCGGAGGTGAGATTGAGGCATAAGATGATCAAAAGAAAGTAAAAAATGCTGATACTTCTTGCTAAATGTTGATTTATTTTGCCTTCTTTGTATCTTTCTGTCTCTTTCTGTGGATATTTTCCTAAGGGGGAGCCTTGTGTCATGGGAGAAAGGAAAATATTCAAGAAACGCAAGCCAGGAGCTCAGTGTGCCTTGGGCCGGGACTATTCTGGTACGGTGGTCTCAGAACCCTGCGTCTGTGCAGACTGGGATTTCGAATGGTAAGTTTCTCAGCATTTGAGCAAAAATTGCTGTTGGAGGATAGCAGTGAGGATGGAATGATGAGAAAACCGCATGACTCGGATATATCTGTTAGCCGGTGGACTTTACAAGGCTGCTTACAAGGTGACGTGGGAGATTTGTGTCCCTTTCACACAGGAGATATCACCGCGGTACCAGAGAAGTTTGTCAAATGAGATTTTTCTTCCTCTTGAATTTCCACTGGAAATTCTAGAGACTTTGAATTAAACTATGACCAAGCTATTTTCTTGGACACAGTGACCTCAAGGCACATTCACTGAAATCAGTCTTCCTCATGAACTGCTTATCAAATCATACTAATCACACCCTTATTAAAATCAAAGTTTTGACTCAAATCTCATCTTTATTCAGATGACATTCAAATCGCATTCTTATTCAACTCACACACTTTTGTAATCACACTCGAATCATACTTTTCTTAAAGTCACACACTTCCACAAATCACACATTTACTCAAATCACATCCTTCAAATTAGTAATTTGAGTGTAGTTTAAGTGAGGGTACTGTTAGAGTGTGATTTGAGGAAGGATGTGTTTGTGGTGTGATTTGAGAAAAGGTGTAGTTGTTATATTATTTGAGGAAAGATTAAGGGAATTTGAGGAAGAGTGTGATTTGGAGAAATGTGATTTAGGTGTGATTTGAAGAAGAAAGTGGAGTGTATTTGAAGAAGGATGTGATTAATGAAAGGGTATGATGGGGGTATAAGTTGAGGAAGGGGTGTGAATGGGGTACAATTTGAGAAAACAGTGAATTGAGGAAGGGTGTGTTGGGTTGTGGTTTTGCTCTGATTTTAGGAAATGGTATGATTTGTGCATGACTTGAGGAATGGTATGATTGGGGTGTTATTTGAATGAAGTGTTGATGGTTTTGTGATTTGAAGATGGGTGTGATTTGAAGGAAGGTGTGATTTAAGGACACTTGTAATTTTAGTGAACGTGTCATTTTGGTGTGATTTGAATAAAGGTGTGATTTGAGTAAGTTTGCTTTGAGCAAGGGTGTGATTTGAGTAAAGGTGTGATTTGAAGAATGGTATGGTTTGTGGAAGAATGTGATTTGAATGAGAATAGGATTTGAGTGTGACTAGACGAAAGGTCTGATTTAAGTAAAGGTATAATTTGAGTCTGCTTTAAGTAAGTGTGTGCTTGTAGTCAGTGTCTGATTATCCTGTGATTCCATTAAAGTTGTTATTTGAGGAAAGGTGTGATTTGTGTATAGTTTGAGAAAGGTTGTAATTTGAATGAGAGTGTGATTTGAATGTGATCTGAGTAATGATTTCATTTGAGTATAATCTATTATGTTAATAAACACAATCATCCTGAAATCACAGAATTACTCTAATCACACCTGTCCACAAATCACATTCAAATCATGCCCTTGTCTGATCACACTCAAACCAGATAACACCCTTTGTCAAATCACAACTTTCCTCCAATCACACCCTTCTTCAAATCACATTCAAATCATACCCTTCCTCAAACTGCACTTTTTCTCAAATCATACCCTTTCTCAGATCACACTCAGTTTGTATCTTTACTCAAATCACACCCTTCCTCAAAACAACAAAGAACAATTATAAATTATACCAGCTAGCCAGTTACTCTCAGACTGGCAAATATTTCCCCGTAAAACGTCCTCTGTCCTAGGAAAAAGATTTGGTCCTTCTGCCTGTTCAATTATCCCTTCTTGAATTGCTGATAAGTATTTTAAACTTAATGTCATCCAAGCCTAATTCTTCTTGAATGACCCTGTGGAATACTTTTGTGGCCCACATACTACATCCTCAGTGAGTTACACATAATCTGCTTAGTTGGTCAAGTCAAAATAACTAGGAAGGTTTGGCTTAATCCTTTCTCTTACACTCAGTTTTAAACTCTCAGGGAGTCCTTGACTACCATGATAAATTGCAATTCAGATATCTCTTCCTTGTTCACTTCTGTTCTCTGGATTACTCTATGAGTGTACTAACTGTATCTCTGCTTCCACTCTTGTCACCCTGAAGTCCATTTTCACAATCAAAGATGCACCTAAGGTACACACACTAGTCCTAATGACTCCCACTCCAATGACTACCCCATTCCTTAAATATAATATAGTCTTCTTTCCTTGACTTGTTTAATCATGAGTGATGTGGCCCTGCCCAAACTTTGTGCCTCAATTTCTTATTATTTATCCCTCATTGACTGTAACTACATGAACATTCCCCAATGCCTTATTCCTTCTAGGCTCATTCCAAATAGAGGAATAGAAATTGCAGGACTTCTTCTAGATCTCAGCATTGCTGGCACCTTAGGATGACTCATATCTCAGCAGAAACATCAGCTCAGAAATGCCTTCAGAAACCACCTCATCTCATATGCACCTTGAGATTCTGTCACATTACCTTGTTTTAACATTAATTGCCTTATTAGTATTAATCACTATATGAAATGAGCATGCTTCTGATTGCTTTATAATTAAACCATCTTTCCCCAGTAGAAAAAGTGCTATGTGTGCACGGTAGACATTTTAAATTGTTAAATCACCAGGGCTTAGCCTATAATAGTAGCAAGCAATAAAGAGGTCTAGCGTGTTTGTGAACAATGTTCCTTTTAGCCGAATTCAAAGCCCCACTTTGTGAATGAGGGAATATCACTGTACCCTTAGCCAAAAGATCTCTCTCTCCTCATCGGTAAAAAGCTGAAGCTCAGTTTGTATATTTACATAACACCAGCTAGGCCAGAGGAAGAGCTCAGAGCTCAGGAATTATTCCATAAACATGGGAGAGGCAGAACGCTGACAGGGACGGACATTTGGTCTCTTCTGCTGGTCAGTTGAGATCCAAGTCCCTGTGGGTATAAAAGTTAGTGTCCCTGCCCCACAGTCTTATCCACTTCATTCTCCTCTTTCCTACCTCTTTCTAGAGCTTCACTGCTAGAAAATAATCCTTTATTTAGCAACTTCTACTAGGTATATAACAACTGCTAACTCTCACTGCTCCCCACCTAGTCATTCCTGAACAAAAACCCTTAGGAATACTGTTAGGGCTTCTGTTACAATCATTAAAATCAGATGTATATGATGAGATTTAAATTTGAATGGTTAGGCCCTTCTGTGTCAGTTTTGACTCTTTGGAGCTAAAAAAATAATTTGACACTTGGGAGCAACTGTTGTTAGGAACCATTGAGCTGATTACAACTCAAAGTGAGCCTGTGATCAGCAGATCTGAACCCAGTCCTGTCCTAGGCCAACCTCACAATCTCGGACACACTCTATCCCATTGCTGTAGTCTCTTTGCCGGTCCACCTAGTTGAGAGTTTTTCTGTCTTTTGCCATCCCCCTACCTTTCGAAGCATGATGTCCTTCTCCAAGGACTAGCCTCTCCTAACCAGCTTGCCCAAAATATGCAAGCTGAAGCTTCACCATGTTTGTCTTCAAGGATCATTCTGGCTGCACCTTTTCCAAGACATATCTGTTTGTTCTTTTAGCTGTCCATGGAATATTCACTCCTCTTCTCCAGTACCACAGCTCAGAGGCATCAGTTTTGGGAGCAGTAAGATTCAATTATTAACTACGAGTCCTGTAAAATAGAGTGTTGTGTCCTGCAAGGTATTCAGAATTCTAGCTTGTGATATAGTCTCAGCCAGAATATTGAGAAAATGAAGTTCAGGTTGTCTTATGTTCTTAGGAGCTTTGGAGGGAGGGATGTACAGTGATTAGCGTGTATGCTGCTTAACTGTAAGGACAGCATTGCAAACCCACAAGTCTCTCTGAAGACAGACGAAGCAGTCTTTGTCCAGATTTACTGCCGTGGAAACTCTATGGGACAGTTCCTCTTTGCCTTGTGTGGTCACTGTTAGTCAAAATCAGCTGAGAAGCAGTGGCTTTAATTTTGTTTCCTCTGGCATACTGACTGCATATCGGAGTTCACCTTAGAGGCATTGATGCTGAAACTTTGTCTCACATACTTTGGGGCTGTTTCCAGGGGGCATTAGTCTGTGGAGAAAGATATCATGCTTGTAAAAGTGAAGCATCAGCAAATGAATACCCTCAATGAAATGGACTGGTGGTGATTGAGATTGTGAGGATGTTACAGGTTAGGGCAAGATTTTACTTTGATGTTCATAGGGTCCCTAGATGTTTCGTTGACTCAACAACCCTTAACAACAACAACAACAACAAGTGCAAGCATATGGACTCCATCCGGACATATCTTTGACTGTGCCCTGCTATATTTTCATTCTGTGTATGTCACCTTGTTAGGGAACTTTTCACAATAGAAGAAGATCAAGATTTGTAGCATAAATATTTTTCCTCTACTAATTACGTCATCATCCACAGGTCTAGTCAAGAATCATAGCTCATCTTTTATTTCTACCTTCTGACCCAAGGAAATTTTCTAAATCATTTTTACTTCACCTCCTCATCTATAAAATTAAAATAGTAATATATGTTTCTCAATAGGCCCTTGGAAGAAAGAAATTCATTGCTGAATGAATTAAAGTAGATAATTAATGTCGCGAGGGCGTTTATCCTCCTGGTTTACACAGTAGACATCAACATCTGGTAGTTGCCACTGCCGTGCTTGCTGTTAATCTCATACCCCAGGGTTAAATGGCCCCCATGGTATTTTTAGCAAGTAAAACAAATCTTGCACATCTAAATAATTGCTGTCTTCAAAGTAGTACCTTTAGGTATTATTTATTTCCATGCTGGTGGCATTGTATAAAATATTTCTGAACCCTTCTTTGGGAACTACCGTCAGAATCTGTTTATAGGTAAGGCAGAAAATATAAGCATTCACAATGCATTCTGTCTTTCACCTACACCAGCATTCATATTGAGAACACTTAGATTCAGCACTATGTAATAACAGCACCATCTTTTCTGACTTGTAACCCAATAAATATGATCATCTGTGATGGTAAGTTCCTTGACTAGCATCACAGGGAGAGATCTGAACTTCAAATGCAGCTAATTCTA